ATCCATCCATCCATCCATCCGTCCATCCATCCATCCATCCATCCATCATCCATCCATCCATCCATCCATTCATCCGTCCGTCCGTCCGTCCATCCATCCATCCATCCATCCATCCATCCATCCATCCATCATCTTTACCCACTTATTCCATTTTGGGTCATGGGGGTCGCTGGTGACCATGTCCAGCAATCACTGTGCGAGGGGCGGGGGACACCCTGGACAGGTCTCCAGTCCATCACAGGGACACATAGAGACAAACGAGACAAACAAACATTCACTCTCTCACTCACACCTAGGGACAATTTAGAGTTACCAATCAGTCTAACAATGGATCAGTGTGCTAATGATCCATTGTTAGGCTGATGGTCCTTCTTGACCATGTGATCAGCTGGTTCTGGTTGTCAGCAGCAAACTGGTTGATCCACTCTGAGAAGGTGCTATTTAAGAGACTGAGCTGAATACAGCACCTCAGACTGAGGAAGTCCTCAGGATGAGAGACGAAACGTTTCTACATTTTTTTGTTGATTTGCTTTGTTTTGTTTTTTTGAATGTCCAGAGGACCTGAATTAACTTTTTTTTTTCTTCCTGGATTTTTGAGCATGCATCAGGACTTAGGATATATATTTAAAACTGACTAGATTTTAGATATACCATATTTTTCAGACTATAAGGAACACTTAAAATCCTTGAATGTTCTCTTAAATTGACAGTGAGCCTTATAATCGTCACGCCTTATATATTAATTCTGTTTGTGTTTACTGACCTCAAACTGATTTCATGTGGTACAACTGAACAATGTTGAGCGTTACTGTGAACGAGTTGAATAAACTTTGACTCCTCTGACTGTTTTGTTTCACTTAATGCCACTTATAGTCCAAATGATACAGTAATCCAATTCAAGATGGCTGTCACAGCTAATCATCCAACCTTTCTTCAGACAGCCTTAGTCAACATAACAGTTGATATAGATGATGTGGTAGTACTCGCTCACAGCACATACTCTGAGCAAGAACCAAAATCACTAAAAACTTTAAAAAATCACTTTTCGTTTAAAACTTTGATATGAAAGGCGGCGGTTGGTATCCATTCCTTGGAAGAGTGCTCGGCCTTTACTGCTCTTAGATCAGTTTTAGGGATCTGGTGTCATCAGTGTCAGCGTTTTGCTCACTAACAAGTGAAAGCACTTGGCAGAGAAACTGCCCCCCCTGCACCAGGGGAGGGGGCCTCTTTGTTCCAGGTCACATTTCTGTGTTCAACAGTCTGACTCAGAAACAAGAAGAAAAGTTTAGTGACTCAGACTTACTTCCTGTAACCAAAGCCTGCCTGCAGAGAGCGTGGACCCCACAGCAAGAAGAAGCCTCCGTGAATTTGGTGCACGCTGTCGGGGGGGGGCAGAAAGACTGTGATTACTGTAGGGGGATCAAACAGCTGGACGTCTGACCTGTTCAGAATATCAAAAATATCCCCACAGATCTTTGGTTTCATCGTTTTCAGACAGAAATGCGTGTCAGGTTTATCACATGCATGTGTTGCATGTGTGTGTCAGTGCATGAGTATGCATGTCTGTTAGCAAAATGTTTCATGAACCACTGGAGGAACTTTAATGAAACTTGCAAATATTGACTAAAATCGTGTTGTGGTAGTAGCTGAGAGTCATACACAACACATATTGTGAGTGCTAACAGTTTATAAGATCTTTCGCTTCACATGCTAATCTAAAACGTTGAACTTCAGGCAGGAGCAGAGGTTCTCCACATCCATCATTATGAGACTCATCCTCTGCACCGCCAGTCCAGGCTCCTCCCACCGGGATGCAGATGTTTGACTCCCAGATGTAAAACCAAGTGGTACAAAACCAGTTTTGTTCCTGTTGCCATAAGCTTCCAAAATTTCACTTAGCATTCATAGCATTTATTTTTATCCTTATTGTGTGTTTATGTCAAGTTTCCTGTCTGGCAAGAAAGCTGACTCACCTCATTGTAAAGGATATAAATAAAGTTCACTGATTGATTGATTGATTGATTGGTTGATTGATTGATTGATTGATTGATTGATTGATAAATGAACTTGACAGCCTACATATTGATTTAATCTAGAACTATTAATTTTCCATTTGTTGTTTTTCTGGACTGATGTCATCACCTTTGACTTTAGGTTTGCAACCAGCTGACAGTAAATGTGGACCAGTTTAGCATCGATGTTCTGAGGAAATGCTGCGTTGCTGTTTGTGGCAGCGATGCTCGTTAACGCCAGCTCAGAACACAAAGCCACTTGTTCATCTGGGCTGTTTGCTCTCGGCCAGAACCGTGGTGCAACACACATCAGGCCCGCCATCTTTTGTAAACAACCGATTCCACATGTGATTCACATGCTCAACTGCTGAGTCACTTTCCACTGAGGCTCGCCGTAAATCGAACAGCCTGCTAAAAACAACAAACAAGAACTAATGTAAGAAACTGGTAGATTTATTTGGAAGAGGTCTTTATCAATTGAACAAGACTTTAAAAGTGACTCAGCATCTTCCGGAGGCGCTGGTTTAATAATGGACCATATCCAACAACCTGAAAGTTGCAAAGAGTGAATCCACGTCACTTGATTACTAATCAACCACGAGCAGTTGTGCACGTCACGATCAACGTCTCGTCATGCATCTGATCCCGAGGGCTTCTGTTTGTGTGGGCTTCCTCTTTCGCCTCTCACTCTTTTTTATCTCAACTAAAACCAAAAATAGCATTACGACCTGCAGCATCACAGAGCAGAAGGCTTTCAGTTCTGAGGCTCCTTGGAACCTAAAATGGACAACATGACTAAACACTCATGGGGCAAATACAGTTCATGGAGTTTTAACAATCAACTGAGCTTATCAATCAATCCAGTTCAATAAGGCTTAGTTGGCACGAATTACAGCCCATTTCACAGAAATGGAGCTTTAATTGAGTGTAGCAGCTGAGAGTCATCACATGATTGAACCAAAACAGCTCCAAGTCGTCGTTTCTCAGCACAAGATGAGCTCTGGTGTGAAAGGCAGTGAGCGACATTCCTTCAAGGATTAACATGCCTCTAATTTAATTTGGAATATTTCATACATTTTTGTACAATCCATGAACAGAGCCCTGACGTGCATCCGTTTGGGGACTTTTTCAACAGGTCTTGTTGGAACTGCACTCACTCAGAAGGTTTAAAGTGCACCCGTCCTGAAACTTAGACCCAAAAATGTGAAGTGAAATCAATGAAAGTCGAGGCCTTTTAAGGCTGAGCACATTTACCCCCCCCGTACTTAATTACTCAGAATAACTTGTGACGCTCCTGCAGTTAAATGAAGAGAAATCCTGTGACTACTACTCTGCATACTTCTCTCAGGAATGGAATCTGCTGCTGCTTCCAAAGGCAGCCGGAGGAAGAGGGGGGGGGGGGGGGGCGTCTGTGTTTCCTTCTGTTGGTGCACATTCTTCTGTGCCTTGCAGGGCAGACCTGCCTATAAAAGGGTCCACTCGCAGGAGGGGGGGGTCAGTGGACTGAAGGAGCAAAAACAACCAGAGAAATGACATTTCCTGAAGTGCAGCGTGTAAGTGAAGTGCTCAGTGACTTTGGTGAAAAAGCTAAAATTGAGTTGTACAAGTTAAAAGAAGCAAAACACTAGCAACAATAAAAAACAAAAGATAAATAAATAATGGACAGAATATTAAAGCAGCAAATAATTAGAAGAGTTAAGGCTGCACTGGACGACTGCTGAAAACTGCTGAAGAAGCTGTTCAAACAAAAACAAGAAAAACACTCAAGGAGCAAAATACTGTCTAAAAGCTAAATGCTACCTAAAAGCTAATGGTAGTAAATTGTAGCTGAAAGAAACAAACACTAGCATAAAGCTAAAGAAGGAGCAAAACGCAAGCTTAAGGTAAATAAAGCAAAATACTAGCTAAAAGCCTAATGAAGCAACAGTCTATGCAGTGGCTAAAAACAGGACAAGAAGACAAAAACAGATTTGATAAAGCAGAGAGAAGAATTCTTCTGAAGAAATTAAAGCGATCTCAAACAAAACTTGTGTAAATGTTTTTATTTTTTCATTTATCTTTATTTATCCAGGTCGACTCATTGAGCCACGGGAACTCATTTTCAAGAGAGACCTGTTTAGGAGCAGGTGGTGGGGGTTGAGTGCCTTGCTCATGGGCCCAGAGTGGGGCGAGTGAGGGTGGAGGCAGGTGTGGGTGCTTCACCTACCCCACCCACAATTTTTGATGTTGTTGGGGCCGGGGCTTGAACCGACGATCTTCGGATCACAGGCCCACCTCTCTAACCTCTGCGCCACCAATCCCCCAAAATAAAGTTAAAAAGTTTTGAAGAGTATCAAAGTTACAAAATCCAGAAGACAGAGCCCTCATTTCCCGAATAAGCCGAACTTTTGACATAAATCTATTCAGTTCAGTTCAATTTATTTCTATAGCGTCAGGTCAGAAGTCGTCTCAGGGCAGAAGTTGGAGTCAGTCTCCCACCATCACAGACACCTCCAGATGCAGGAAGAGGGCCACCTGCATCATGAAGGACCACACTCACCCAGCACACACACTTTTTGCCCCGCTCCCCTCAGGAAGGAGGTTAAGGAGCATTAAGTGTAGAACCACTAGACTGAGGAACAGCTTCTACCCTGACGCTGTTAGACTCATGAATCTCTAACTAGAATAATCACTGTGATGACACTTTAATTGGAGATATGTGCTGCTGATTATCCATGCTGCTGACCTCATGCTGCTGATTATTTCATGCTGCTGACCTCATGCTGCTGATTATCCATGCTGCTGATTATTTCATGCTGCTGACCTCATGCTGCTTATTTCATGCTGCTGACCTCATGCTGCTGATTATCCATGCTGCTGACCTCATGCTGCTGATTATTTCATGCTGCTGACCTCATGCTGCTGATTATCCATGCTGCTGATTATTTCATGCTGCTTATTTCATGCTGCTGACCTCATGCTGCTGATTATCCATGCTGCTGACCTCATGCTGCTGATTATTTCATGCTGCTGACCTCATGCTGCTTATTTCATGCTGCTGACCTCATGCTGCTGATTATTTCATGCTGCTGTATGCATTCATAGTAATTCGTACCCATCTGCTCACCAAAGACTCATGTTCGGGCTGCTGTTGTTACTCCGTATTGTTTTTCATTATTAGTGTTTAGTGTATATCTTAAATCTTATATATCTTAGTTTATATCATAGATCCTTAATTCCTGTTTCTTTTCACAATTTATATTTTTGTTGTTGTTGGGTGTAACTGGGACCCTGTGTACATACTTTTGTTCCACCTCGTGTGCCACCTGTGGTGAAATGGCAACAAACATTCACTTACATCATCAAAGCTAATTATAAAAAACGTAAATATGTAAGGAAGCAGCAGCTGGAGCTGAATCTTCACTTGGTCGCAGTCTCCCACCCTGAGCAAGAACAAAGGAGACAGTGGAGAGGAAAAAGTCCAGAAAGTTCCAGCAGAACCAGTATGAGTGTAATGGGATGACAAATAAAAACACAGAGCATCCCAACAGATTGGTTTTGTAAAGTAAGCACAATCAAAGTTCTATTTCTGGCCCCTCCGTCCTCCTCCCGGACTGACGTCAGCAGAAAGTTATTTTCATGAATGGAGGGGGCGGTCACGAGGACGCGGTGACGTCAGCGCTTGCGGAAGCAGAGCGTGGAATGTCGGTACATTGTTGTTGTTGTGTAGTTGAGGAGCGCGCGCTGCCGCCGTTAGTCCACCTGTGCAGCTGGACTCGCGCTCCCGCACTTTATTTCTTTCATGTATACTTTAAACCCGCGCGCACAGAGGTGAGGCTCTTTCCGGTTTCTGTCTCCTCTCAAGATGTTCCCACATTCCTTTGAAACTGCTCCGTTCTCACGGTGACGTGCTGGCCGCGCGTCCGTGACCGTGCACACCTTTATCTGATTTTACTTCAACGTTACTTTGATATCTCGTGTCGCTCGTGCGGACACGTGACGTGTCGGAGAAACAACACAATGTCCAGAAATGTGGCGCAAACCCACGGAGTTGTCGCGGGTTTAAAGTGAGTAGCTCTTTGTTTCTTTGAAGATTCACTTAGGAAACTAAAGATCAGCTCGAGTTGTTTAATATTTGGCGAAAGTAGAGCATGTTAAAATACTTTGACTTGTTCTCCAGCCAAGTTGTTGGAGCTGCTTTACTTTCAGCCGCGGGAACTTCATCACTGCATTTGAACGCGTCAGAAGGCGGCGCCTTTGAACCCCAAACATAAAACATTTATTCATCAGGATTTCTTTCTTTGAGCTTTTTGGACGAGAAGGAAATTGTGAAATAAGTCAAGAATTTCCCGCTTTCTCTGTTGAAACTAAGTTCGCTCGCATCCTTTTGATTTTACTGTTGTGCAAAATAGCAGCTGTGCTTTTGACACGAACCAGCACGCGCTCTGAACTGTGGACATGTGGGACATGTGGACATGTGGACATGTGGGACATGTGGACATGTGGGACATGTGGGACATGTGGACATGTGGGACAACGCGCGCGGCTCAGTCCACCAGGGCTCACTGAAGGAGCACATTAAACTATAAATCACTTTTATTGCTTTCTTCAGCTTCAGGTCTCCATGAGGTCTTTGGAGTAAAGATAATTAAGGCATGTCCAGAAAGTGCTGGTTTCATCTTTTGCATAATTTTTCATCTTTTGCATAGAGGCGGCTGTGGCTGAGTGGTCAGAGCAGTCGTCCTCCAATACGAGAGTTGGGGGTTCGAACCCACCAGCAGGCACATGCTGAAGTGCCCCTGGGCAAGACACTGAACCCTCATAGTCTCCGATGTGTGTCCATCAGTTTATGAATGTGATCAGTCTCAGAATGATTTGTTCAATTATCTTTGTAGAGATCTAGTATAGAGCTGTGTGAATGAGGCACAGATTGTTGTAAAGAACTTCGAGTGTCTTGAATTAAGACAGAAAGCTTCCATTCAAGTATTGACCATAATAACTTGTGTTATTTTTAATGCCAGTGGAAAATATTACTGGTCCATTGGAGACCAGGAGGCTTTTCTTAACACACACACACACACACACACACACACACACACACACACACACA